ACAATGTTATTGGAATCCGGAACCTTCTACTAGGCGCCAAAAATTGGTTTAATTAGCATTACCAAAAATTTTCGCCGAACATATTACATTATTGATAGCACGCTCCAAAAACATTCTCATAATCATTTATTATATTTAACGCAAATCTATGCGGATCCGGTTGTTGCAAAACTCACGCCCCCTTTATTTACCATTTCAAAACAAAGCCTTCGCTTTACTATAAACCATGACGTCACACAGTTTCATTATCAGGAAACTATGACCCCTAAAGTTCTGCGAATCATGTTGTCGTAATGTTTTCGTGTTTTATTTTAGAGGAAAATAATAAAGTAATTTAGAAAGAACAAAGAAATTTGCGCGTTTGTATGATCAGGCTCAAGAATGTTTTGGAAGTTATATAAATAATTATATCACTACTGCAGAACTGTAAGAGTGTAGGAGAGCCAAGCTTCGGCACGAATGGGTCGGTGGACTGATACCACGGCCTCACAGAATACCGGCGTGAAACAACCACAGCGTTGTTTGCGCCGTGTGAGTGAGGTTACCGGAGGCCCAATCCCCCCCACTATCCCTTCCCGATCCTTATATCCGCAACTCCTATCCCCAAAAAGCCAGCAATGCACTCGTAAATCCTTTGGTGTTGTGTTGCTTACCATCAGGTAATCCGTCTGCGCGTTTGGCGACTTATACCATAAAAAAACTGATGGAATCAAACTGCAACGATAGAATATATGTCTAGACCACATTTATGTTAACAGTGAAATAAAAGTGTGTATGCTTCGCCATGAATGGGTAGGCTCCACTGGCGTGATACCACGGCCTTACAGAAAACCGGCGTGAAACAATCGCAGCATTGTGTTTCGCAGTGGGTTGTGGTATGAGGTTATTTGATGCCCAATTCTTACCTTCCCCCATCCCTCCCAAATCTCAAATTATCTAAAATCCTAATCCCCAAAAGGCCGACACCACAACATTTAACTGTTGTGTTATCCAAGGACGGCGATAATTGCTTACCATCAAGTAATCCGTCTGCTCGTTTGCCGACCTATTAAATAAAAAAGATATGATTAACATAAATCACACAGCCATATTTAAACCATGACCGCTTTAACTAGATTGACATCGCTGGTCATTGCACTTTACACTCATAATGCAGAGAATCTTGCGTTTTTTCCTCTTAAAAGATCCATGAGGTTCAATTGCAGCGACTTGCTTCCAATATTACATCAATACCAAACTAAATTTTCGCGGTGACCGTAAAGTCAAGACGCCTGTTTCTCATGTTGAAGGTGAGTGTTCGAAACCTGGCAAGTAACAATGTAACTTTTTCCTAGATACATATATGGATATCAAAGATTACCTAGACACCTTAGACAAACGGTGATGGAAAACATCGCGATATAAGCTGAGCGTAGACTACTAATTATAAGTTTAAAATCGCCAAAACACTTTGAGCAAGCGTGGTTACTAATGATCAAACCTTCGCTGATAATATAACCATTGATGTACGAAAAAGACATATTATATGTACATTTTAAGGAAACGTAAAATTTGTGAAATGCAGTCCTAAATACCTTAAATTGATAAAGATAATAACAAAGTTTAACTGCAAGTTTTCGATTTATTAAGAACCACCTTACACTAGGAAAACGAAAGAGATCGTCAAATTGTTATAGACATAAAATACTAAAGCTGTAAGCGCTAAAGCGTGGAAAAAACATTCACAACTGTTAAAGACTTAAATGAAAACCCCACATAGATGCAAAACTTCTGTGACACAAATTTCGGACAACTAACATGAAAAATCGGTCTTGATCCAAAAACCAACCTAATCCAAAATTAAAACATTAATCTCAACCGTAAGTCAACCCTAACCTACATTGGTAACTAGATTTGAACCAGTAGCAATACTAACAATAAGACTACAAATTTCATTAACCCCAAACTTCCAATAATCAATTATTTGCTTGTCATACGAATAATTAATGAATTAGCACTGTTGACTAAGCTTGCTAAATGCAGCCTTCACTTGCTTGATGATCAATAAATTAGGTTAGGTAAACTAAAGTCTAAAACAAATGTCCAGTCGGTATAAATATAAAAGTATTTGTTTTTGTTAAAGGATGGGTCAGCAAACTAGCTGAAGGCTTAACTGATGGTAAGCAATAGCCTTGGACAACCGCAACACTATAGGAGTTATGGATGCGATGCGATGCCAGCCTTTTGGGGATAAGAGTTTTGGATATTTGAGGATTAGAAAGGTACTCCGGTTGAGCCGACCCATTAGTGCCGAAGCATGACTCTCCCACATTTGTTCCGATACCGTGGGGTACGAGCAGACGTATCACCACTTGATAAGCAATCGGCACGGGCCATTAACGCCCTCCAATAACAGAAGCTGTAAAGGCTTTTTACCGGTCTTTGGTAGAAATCCTCGAATTTGGAAGAGAAAGGATCGAGTCTCTAACCACAATTAGTTATTGTAGACCGGTAAATAAGGCTTAACTAATTTTACTACGACCTTGCCTTGACATTTCATTAGTGGGTGGGACTATTATATCCAGAAATCTGTTATATTATTTAACCAAAGTAAGCAATGTAAGCAAAGTAAACAAAGTAAGCAATTTCAAAAACTTCACAACAGTGACAATTCAGGAAAATCATGTCGATATTTTATATCAAAATTGCGCAGCTGAACTGTTTAAGTTACACGCTTGTTCTGTTTCGCAAACGCTCTTCAACGTTCAATAATTTTGCTGTACCTATAGAATTATTTTTAATAATCACGCCATCTATCGGTCACTGCAATGCTTTACTTAGCAAACGTAAATAAGTAACAACAAACTAGCATTTCTTCCATTGAATTATAGGTACTTTTGTAATTTAATATCTTTTTTAGAATTACGGAGAAGTAGAAAATAGGTACGGCCTTTGATATCTGCTATCTTAGTCAGTTTGTTTTATTGTGCCATTAGGGGAACAAACGCCTAATTGTGTCTTTGAAACTTGAACTTTGCCGGTACGTTACTCACAGTCTATGAGCAACTGGGAATATTAAAAACAACAAATGCCGAGAAATATTTTATGTTTGCTCTACAATGCTGTTTCTTCTTTTTTCAGATTTAAGTTTTAATTAAAACATTCTATTAATTCTATAGACCTAAAATATGGATGTACGAGAAAAGTAATTCATGAATGTTCTTTAAATAAAAAAAAACTAATTTTTACACATTAAGTGTGAGAAAGCCGAGCACGAAGGGGTCGGGGACATCAGGGCCTTAGCAAATCCGAGACGACTCAAAACGTGCTTTGTGTTTCGTCGTATGAGGTTACCGGAAGCCCAATCCTCCTCCATTTCTTAATCTCCGAAATCCCAATCCCGAAAAGGCCTGCGAAATACTCGTATCTCTGCCGGTGTTGTGGGTATCCATGGGTGGCGACAATTGCTTACTATCAGGTAATTTTTCTGGTCGTTTGACACTCTATCATATAGAAATAAACATTTTTTTATCTTTAGCATAAAAATCAGATAACATTAAACCATTCCAAAACATTTCGAATATTGGCATAACCAATTCTGTCGTTTGTACGTGTGTCTTTTAAAGGGCTTTAACAACAAATGAAGAAGTTTCTCGATTCACGCTCTCTTCATAGTTTCTCACCTTTTAAAACTTCTTTCTTTAATCATCCAGTGATTTCTTCCACTAAGATGAGGTTAGAAAGGTTATTACCAAAATTTCCTATAGCTTGTACATTTATTTCTAGACATAAATTACCCAAATCGGTCCTAACATTCTTAGGTTTAAAAAATACTTTTTGAGGGATGAGAGAACAAGTAGTAAAGTTCCTCCTTCTCCAGTGAAAAGTGAGCATCCTCTGACCAGAAGGGTGTTGTGTCTGGTGAGCTATTAGGTACCCGAAGTTTCTTATAGGGATTTGCTAATTGCGTCGATAATTGTTTCGCCGCGATCTTGCGAACTTGAATGTGATTGGTGCTATTATTATTTCGTGTTCTGCGGTAGATGTCGCTACTAGACAATTAACATTTTAGAACTTTTTAATTTAAAAAACCCACTTTTGCTTTTATTAAAGATCCTTTAATTTAATACAGACTACGTCATGGGGAAAATAAAAGATATTTACTGATTCACTGACAAATTTATTTATTTTTACATTATCTCCTGATATCACATGTCAATGATATAATTAAAACATAAGTCTAATTAAAACTTCTTTTCGAAAGGAAACGGATAAACATATTTAAATACATTCTTATATAGATCATGTTTTAGTACCATCTAAATATTAGTAGATATATCATATAGTATATAAAATATGTACATATGTATAAATACAATAAAATAATAAATAAATCAGTACATACTATAAATAAACTATGATTTTAAAGACGAGTTTTCCTCCAGTACATACATATAAATAGAATATTATTATACATTTGGATTTTTAATTCTTTTGATAAAAAAAATAAATAGTACTCACAATATTTTTATCATACACAAGTTTGGACATGTTTGGCGAATATATTTATTTAAATAATAATAACACAACAAATATCTAAGTACTAAACTATAATAATAGTATAGTAATATAATATTATAATTTATTGATAAATTCATCCGTTTCCAAAAATTTATCCATACAATCTCAAGTTGCGTCAGCCAGTACAGGTTTAGTTAAATAATACTACACTTACTACACTATTTATTTACAAACTTACTTTACCACTTATGTAACCAGTACCTTACAGCTAACATCTGTACTCTGACACTAATCACTGTACAAAATGGGCACTAAAGGGTCGACTTGAGAGAGAGAACCAAAAGTCCTTATGACAATTATAATCAAGGATGAAATTAGATCAAACGTGTAAGTCGACTCTAATAATTTTATGGATTTTTCTCAAGCTTTCGACACTATTGTCAACCAAAAAATTACATACAGACGTACATACGAAATCACAAATAAACTAAAATTACTGTATACTCCTATATGAGCACGGATCACGGGAATAATTCCTTATAAGTGAACTTCGATGTTATTTTATTTGCCATCTCTGTGAAGAGGTCCGCAAGGCTCTTCTCTAGGACCGGACTGATTTCTTGAAGGAATACTTGTGAGTTTTCGTTGATCACCCTGTTGGTGGCGGGTCCAAGGACTGGATCGCCGTCGAACAAGTTGGTTAAGTAGATGGAGGACTGACCGACACGGAGTTTCACTTTGAAGGGATCAAACTGTAGGTGTTCATCTTCACCGATCTTCTGTTTGTGTCCTCTCATCGTGACGTTGCACGCGTAGTCACCTGGAACGTGAGAATCGTTTATTAGTGAAATGCCAAAATTTCCTTCAGTCGAACACCGTCTTTTCTGAAATGGCTTTTATTTATGTTTTATTGTACATGTTCTAAGTGCATTGGCATTGGTAACGTAACTAATAGATAGTATGGGTACCAATTGCATACATCTTCATTTTAGTCACATTAGTAGAAATCATTTTTTCTTTTCATCTTGTCAGTTGTGTCGGTGAAGATATAATAGATAATCGCCAGTATCTCGTAATACTTGGCTTACTTTAAACGAGACTAGCATCAAGTTCAACTCAATCTAATAATGAAATATCAGACTAAAAATTTTAAGAGGCGTGGTTGAACACTGGTTTCAAATCAAACATTACCTATCACCTAATGTTTAAAATTATCAATTGTTCATCGATGTTACTTAATCAAGATAATATTAATTATGTGTTCAGTAATTCGAGGCGTATTTTGTATTACATGTATAGTGGGAAGTGAGATAATTCGTTGAAGGCAAGATTATGTATCAACTACGCAACTATATTTATCTTCCTCAGTTACTTGAGATCTATATTAGACATAGCTTCTGTTAGTCTCTGGATTGTAAAGTAGATTACAAAGAGGATTTACTATTTTCTGACAATTTCATAAAAGGGAAAAATTTTGAACGTAACATTCATATTATTGTCTCTCAAAATAAGATTCGAGAAATCCAACTGCTATTAGAAACGCGAACGTTGGTAAGACTGGATGTTATTTTCTCTGTAACGTTAACACTACTGAACGGACCCAAATTAAATTTGGAACAGACATAGATTATAGTCTATACATAGTATACACATAGGCTACTTTTTACCCTGGAACTAGGGGTGAAGGTGCTGACTAAAACTAGTAGGTATATCATTACATACCTTGCCTTGACTTAAAATTGTTTTAAATCTTAAAGGTCTTCTTCTTATAGATCTGAAATTAATTGCCAATTTCAACGTAAAATCTCGATTTTTTTTACCGAAACTCAATACAATCAAATGTAAGCCATCATAAACGGTCCCAATGAAAAATCTTTAGACCAGATTGGGCAATTCCTATAAAGGTAAATAAGTCAAAAATTTATGGTTACATAAAGCGACATAGTGACACAGTGGACGCACGTGTGCGCTTGTAACGTTAACATCTATGCTAAACATTGCATGGCGCATTAATATACTGTGCGGCGCGTGCGCAGCGGTGCAAGTAATGAACGTATTTAATTCAACTACTTCGGTTACTTTTAAGTGTAGCAGAGCCAAGCTTCGGCACACATGAGTCGGCTCGACCAAAGTGATCCACGGTCTCACAAAAAATTGCCGTGAAACAACCACAGCGTTGTGTTTCTCCATGTGTGTGAGGTTATCGGAGTTCCAATCCCTAAATCTGCAAAACTCTGATCCTCAGAATCCGGCAACGAACTCGTTACTCCTCGGTACGGTGTCGCATTACTAACCTTCAGGTAAACTTTGCTATAATCTTATAAATGATCGACCTAGTCATGAATAAGAGTCCCGATGTTACTTGAAACCAGAAGAGCTTTTCTCGGTTAATCGTTATTTCCAATAAATAAAGTTAAGTCCCATAATAGCAAAAAATAACGAGCAGCATCATCGGCGCCTAACTTCGATAAAAGTAAATACAATTTTATTGCAAGCATATAAAATATAAATTCGAATAAATACCTCTGTGTTGTCTAAGTAAACTTCTATAACACAAGGTACACAGATTAAAATATATTTGCTATAAGAAAATGTTGGGAATATGTTTATTGTATAATTAGAAGAGAGATGACCTTACGTCAAGGCTAAACATTAATTATACTGATTGACTTACCTTGACCTATATATAAAAAAGACGAGTTCACACTTTTTGAAATGGAATCAGATCTATATGATGCAGCTTTTTATAGTTAGAGTCATGAAGAGGCAAGTTTTGTATGTATAAAAACATCCGTTGAATAGTCAAGAAGTTTAGTATCAGAATTGCACCCTTGCAAAACCGCTAGTTGTGAATTTTAATGTTTTTGGTCATGTCATAGTTCGGCAAACGATCAGACGGATTACCAAGCCATCGGCACCGCCCATAGACACTCGCAATACCAAAGCAGTTACTACCAGTGCGTTGCCGGCCTCTTTGTATAAATTTAGGTATTAACTAATAGGGGATAAGATGGGGGGAAGGGCGATGATTGGGCCTCCAGTAACCTCAAACACAGGGCCACGGCTCCGAAATAAAGGTAAGTGTTGCTTTACATCGGTTTTCTCTGAGGCGGTGGTATCACTCCGGTCGAAGCGACCCAATCGTGCCGAAGCTTGGCTCTCCCAGAATTGTAAATGTTTCTTTTCAATCCCGCGTCATTCCTTCCCTTGGACTACAACTGACCGCAATGCATACACGAGGCTGATGACGACACAGACTACGAGGTGTGACGTCATCGTATGCAACTCGGTTCAACAAACTGTGCCGTTACTGCATTTACTGATGCACTTATGAAATCTTAATAGTTTGTATCGGAAAATAAGAATGTTTGTGGTGAAAGAACTACCTATTATATGTTATTATTATGATTAAGATTAAGTATGTAATTCATATTTGCCAAAATAACACATACCAAAACAAACAATAAAGTTTTTAACTTCCAGAAAAATAACATTAAAGAACATCGCGTTTATATATATTAAGGGCTGTTTTTTCAATAAAAGTTACCTGAAGAATATCTACCTATAATTATGATGCTGTCGCGTCAGAATGTTTGTGTAAGACAGTGACAGCAACACTTTATTCCTCAGATAACATTTAGGTATCTGACTATTGAAAAATCAGCTCTTAGTATAGTTTTTGCGCGACGCTTTAATAATAAACGTTTTACCTAAATATATTAAGTATACAATACCATTAAATTATGTACCTATCCTGTATTATTTAGCCATATAAAATAATAATACACTATGTAAGTAATAGTTAATAATATCCATGTAATGTATATTAATGTAATATGTACATATTGTTAATACATATTTAACTCTAAGTAAATATATTTGAACAACAATAAATGATAGCTATTTACTCTTTAGTTCCTGTATGGATAACTAGCGGGTATGCAGTATTCCACGTGTAAGATGCATGTATTATTTTGTAAATTCTACAATTTATTGTAAGTGCTACACTTTACAAGCAATATTCATAACCTATCGTATTGTTCCGTCCTGAAGCAGGAAAAGGAACGGGTTGGTTCTTAATAAGTAAGAGTTTGACATTCCCTCTCGCACCATCCAGGACGAGGGATGTCATTTGATGGATTCCACCCTTTAAAAAAATGATACGACTCACACGCACTCACTCAGAGGCTTTCCCATACGCACACGTACATTTACACATACGCCACACATTCATTCGAACATACCACCACACATTCATCAACACAACCAACCCATGCACCCGTACGCACACGTTCATATAATTATTTTCATATATTATTACCCCCATTTACTTGTTTTTTTGTGTTTAATGTAAGTACTTACTGTTGGGAAGGAATACAGTCTTTAAATACAGGCATTATCTGCTTAAATAAAGACTCCAAACCCAATATTGTTTGTGTATATTTTTTAGACAAAATGAACGTTATTATTATTATACGTATTAAAAAAATAATCTACCAATCACCACAAATAATATTATTGGCTATAGAGTTGAGCAAAGTATGAATGTCAATAAGAAACTCGGTATATTAACACAGATCTGGTTGAATTAAGTACGATTTATAGAAGATTTATTAATCAAAAGTCAAAAGACATTTTGGTTTTTTGTGTTGCGGATATGAATGGGCGGCACCGATTGATTACCATGCCATGTTTTCGAGCGAGTATAATCGTCTAATGGTTTTTCTCAGCATGATTCTGACTCAGACTCTTACTGGCTAAACCACTCTGTTCTTTCTACTGCTCCAGGCCGAGGCCGTGGTGTTTTTAATTTTTAATTGGCTGACTACAAACCCAAATAATGTTTAAAACAGACATCTTCTAATATAGCCACTTTCATGACTGAATCATTAACAAAATAACTGTGCAGACTTGAATTGAAAAAAATGCACCTTATGAACTTGACATAGAAACATAAATTGCATGCTTGTTACAGCATTACGATCAGTTGATTCGACCATGTTGTTGAATAACAGTCAATAATCGAGTTTGTTACCCGTTTTACAGGAACTGCAATATGCTCGAAGTAGCAGATGACTTGTTTCAAAGCATATAAACGTGCCGATTAAAAACTTTGTTGAACTGTTAATGAAAAAAAACTAAATCCTTTTTTGTGGTGCCAGTCATATTATTCTTTTAATACTGGCTGCGAGGCAAAATATGTAAGTAAGTACATAAACAGTTATACATACATAATTACAGAAATATTTTTGTATCCCAAGCTCGATTTTTTATCATCACAAATTAATTTTGTCAGTCGGATAGTCTTGACTGCACGGTTGGCGAGGTGGCTGGGCAACCAGCTGCAGCGCTACGTGTCGCGAGTTCGATTCCCGCACGAAACAACTCTTTGTTTGATCCACAAATTGTTGTTCCTGGTCTGAGTGTTTGTAAAATTGTATGTTTGTAAACGCACGCACAACACATATTCACACAGGTTCGGTTTAGCAAGTTTCGTCGAAATGTTTAAAGCCGTTTTCAAGAACGTGACCACAATTTTCCGAACAAAATTGGTTTTGTAGTTGTGTGTGTAGTTTGTTTAACTTAATCCGTTTATAATTTATACTGTTTTGCCTAATTTACAAAACAACTGGTTTGAATTTAAAGACTCAATGAAGTTTTCAAACCAGTTCAACCAGTGTTGTTGATAGTCCATTTATCGAGAAAGAGCCAAAATTCAGGTGACATCGTGCAGATGTTGAAGCACCGCAGCCTCGCCAGCCCAGAGCAGGAGAAGGAACGGTGGGGTTTTTGTCAGTAAGAGTCTGACACTCTCTCCCGCCCGACTCTGGACGGGAGAAGTCACATGCGAGTCTTACCCTCACAAAAAAAAAATGAGACTAGTGCTACGATTTAGGTTAATAAATGGTACTTACGGAAGGTTCCCGTGATGTTCCCTCGACCCTGGAGTCGCAGCAGGAGAACTTGGATGTCCATCTTGTACTTGCCAGCGAAGTCAAGCTTCGGCAGCAGCAGCTTGAAGTCGAACCTGTTCTTGTCGAGGTCTGACCTGGAACGTTACACGCAGGCGTGTTCATAAAATGTGCAGTCAAATTGTCCATTCAAAGGCTGTCAGGATGAGATCAGGCATAAGGTGATGTGATAGGACATTTTTAATTTCTTATGAGGTTTCAATTTATTTTTAATAATATGCATGTTCAATGTGCAATTTAAAAATCCTAAATAAATAAATGAAATAAAAATGATAATTTCGTTAAGCAAACTCCTTAAATTATTGGATTGATTTGCTGCTAATTTATCCTTTTGTTAACGCTAATAAACACTGAATTGTAACGATACAACGCAAAGACTGCAATTATAAAAAAAAATGCTTCAAGTAATAATAATATTGAACATTTAAAAAAAAAACGGTACTTATAATAATTCTACCAAGCTCTTAAAAATGTATGTAAATAGTTATGTAGTCCTTTTTTATTTTCAAAACACGTTAGTAATTGCTCCTGACCTTTCCTACACATCTAGGTAAAGAACAATGTCATTGTTAGATTTTTTATTAACTAAATATCAAAGTGTGGGAGAGCCATGCTTCGGCACGAATAGGTCTTCTCGACCGGAGTGATACCACGGCCTCACAGAAAACCGCCGTGAAGTAACCACAGCGTTGCATTTCGCCGTGTGGGTGAGGTTACCGGAGGCCCAATCATTCTCCTTCCCCAATCCCTCCTTAATCCCTAAATCTCCAAATCCCTAAAAGGTCAGCAACGCACTCGTAACTCCTCCATTGCGGGTGTCTATGGGCGGCGCTAATTGCTTACCATCAGGTAATCCGTCTGCTCGTTTGCCGACCTATCACATAAAATAAAAAAAAATCAACTAACTAAATTTTTTCACATTACAAATTAGTTTCACCTTCACCTATGCTAAAAGACAATGTCTTAACATTATATTATATTTTTAAACAAAGCAACGGTACCTAAGGTCGAGCCTTGTATAATAGCCTTCTGAACGAAAATATTAGCTTAAGCAAAACCACAAAACAAATAATTAATGTTTAACTATTCTGTCTATAAGTAATAAACCAAGGTTTTATCTACTATTTCACCTTAAATTAAATGTTTAAGATGGATGCTTCAAGGTAACCTGCGAAATTTTCTTGCTTTTTTTCATTTAACATCGCCAGCTCATATCGGGTAGTATGATAATAAACACAACACACATATTAGCGGTAACGAAAGTTGTGTGCTTACACAGCTACGCTTATTAAAATCTACGACGTTACTGTTTATCTTACAAATAAATTAAAGATTTTGAAAACAATTATTTTTTAACTAAACACGATCACGCACAAGTCTCTTTTGTTTGGACATGCTAATGCGCCAGAACTTCTTGTTTAAATGTTCAATAATCCATTTATTGGGAAAGGCTATCCAAAATTTTATTATAAATGCGAAAGTAACTAGGTATGTCTGTCAGTCTGTCTTTTTTCACGCCTAAACTACTGAGCCTATTTGTGTGAAATTTGGTATAGACATAATTTGGAACTTGAGAAAGGACATAGGATAGTTTTTTAACCAAAAATCTGCAGGACGTCAATATTCCACGCGAACAATCGTCGCGGGCAAAAGCTAGTAGACTATAAAACATCACGTTAGGAGCAAAGGGCAAAAACTACAGGTGAGCTACTAGTATCAAATAAACTTTATAACGAACAGACTCTCTCCACATAGCTTAGCCTTCACTTAAACCGAATAATCAAATAATTGATTTACAATCGGAAATGTTAACAGATCCTCCAAGCCAGGAAACGTTTATATAAGGTGCTGAAATACTCAGTAATTTCCTGTAATACAGCTATGTGTAACACACAAATTTCATAAGGGAAGTCTGTTTGGGTTAACCTCAAATCCGGGTAGTATGCGTCAGGAAAACAAATCAGGAACAAAATGGTTTACAGGAACAAATTTTTCTTTTTTTATTTAAATCGGGATATTGGTTCGTTCGAGTCTAATTGATTGCTCAAGATGTTTTTTTTAATGTGTATGCCTTAAGGTCTCTTGTGAGGTTTTTGAATATGAAGTAATAATGTTCTATGCCATAGACAGGCATTTTTGCAAACAGTTAAGTTACGCAGAATAGTCCTAAAAAAGTTAGCTTCTAAAATATACTGTGAGATTTCTACGGACGATTGGGTAGTTTCCTAGGTCAAAAATATTCGACGTTTCACTACAGTAAAATATTGATAAATAACTAAACTTTCATTCATCGATCGATCGATAACATAACGTTTTAGATATATTTCGTTAATTTTTAACGAATAAGTAAGCTATTTGACTTAAAAATACTATGACGTCATAACTCAGTATTTCACACAAATTTCATAGAAAAGTGTAGTTTTTTACATTTGGGTAAAAGTATTGAATTTGACTAGTTGGAAACCACCATATTAAAGACATTTTTCTCTTTGAGCTTATGGTTTGTTAAAAAGCCGAGTTGCTCAACTAATCTCTGGCAAATGTCTAGTCTCTTAAAGTAACAAAAAGGGTTTATTGTGTTAATTGAAAGTTTGTATGTAAAAGCCATCTTAGGTTGACCTTCCAGTGCATTTGTAAAGTGTCATCACCCAGTGTTGACTGTGAATCAACTGCCTATACTCGTATGTATGCTGAACACGTGCTACATAAATTACGCATTCTATAATTATGACTATGTTTATATGTTGATAGCATCTCCTGCACGTTTTGTGAGGTGTCAAGAGTATTAAAACAAAAGTCTACTTTTTGTTTTCCATTGTTCTAGGCATTCGTTTTTATAATGCCTTTTTTATTTATAATTTGTCTTTCACGAAACTTTTAATTTTTTACACATATTTTGCTGTATAAAATTTATGTGTGATCTAGTCTGACTTGACTCCACAGTTGATGCCTTGGCTAGACAATCGGATGCTGTGCAATGCGTTAAATTCCCTCACGGAACAACTCTTTGTGTGATCCACGAATTTTTGGCGAGGCTTAGTGTGGTGTGTAGGAGAAATCGTATGTTTGTAAAGACACCCACGACACAGGAGACCAATTCTTATGGGTGGTAACGTTTTAAAAAAAGAATCAGTATTAAGTCTAATAAATAAACTCACGTTCATGGAGTGGATAACTTTCGGTCTTTTCTATTTCGGTCACTTCTCGTAAACTGTCTATTTCTTAAATTCCAGACGCTAAGACATCTCTCAAAATTCATTGTTTTAAATTCATAATGAGTATATGATTTTTATACAATTCGCGATTTCAGAAAAACGAAGCAGTAGTAGTGATGGATCAAATCAAAAACAAATAATTGTTAAAAACTCACTTAAGTTCCTGTATGATAAAGTTGCTAGGTCCGCGAACTTTGACATCGTTCACGACTGCTGTCAGCTTGGCGCCCTGAGGTCCTCGAGCCAACGCTATCTGACCCAAGCTTAGGGGTTCGATTCCTGGCACGTTCAACTCTGGTATACCCTGAAATTTTACAGATTATATTTAGAAATACAATGTGTTAAGTTTTTAAATTAATCAGTGTTTTCACACACGGATCTACTACAGATCCTGGAGTTGCAGCGGCAGTTGGAAGGTGTCCTGCCCCAATTAAAAATCATAAAAAAAAATGAATATGTATGTTGTATGACTTAAAAATGATTGAGATTATAATAATATAATAAAAAAATGTTTTAAAATTATATTACTTGAAGTGACTCTCATAAGGTATACAACACAGTTTAATATGAAATCGGTGTATAACAGTGCTTGGAATTGGTATGAAGTTAGACAAAATTGAATGAACATAGCAAACATCTCCATAGCTCATAAGGTACACATTTAAATGAAAGAAAACACAGTCTCACAAATAAAAACAAACAACTGCTGACATATTAATTAGATGCAGATAAAGACAATTGATTCTTACCTACATAGGCTTAAGGTAAATAATGGTTTGAGAATACAAATTCTATAAAACCTTGACTTAGTATATTTACTATGTATGCATTGCACACAAACAAACGTAGGTACAAAGAATTCGTAATGAACGCTTTTGTGACAAATCGTTTATTTCTAGACGTCTAAGAATAGAAGAAAATAGACTTGAATTAAATATGTAATGAGAATGAGAAGACTGCTCGGTCAACTGGCTGCCGTGCAACGTGTCGCGGGTTCGATTCCCGCACCGAACAACTCTTTGTGTGATCCACAAATTGTTGTTCCGGGTCTGGGTGTCATGTGTATGTGAAATTGTATGTTTATAACCGCATCCACAACACAGGTCCTAATGTGGGGAAAGGCCTTATTAAAAAAAAGGACTAAATATCTACCCGTTCCTTACCCTGCACAAAACGGGAATATGGTTCGATACTGCGCTTGTGTTCCGGCCAGTAATGGGCACCACCCACAACACCAGTAGTGTGGGTTGCTAGTCTTTCATGGTCAGGGATTTGAGGATCGAGGTAGAATCACTCAGGCAATCGGCGCCGCCAAACCGAAGGAATTACGAGTGCGTTGCCGGTTTTGCGGATAAGAGTTTCAGATATTAAAGGATTGGGCAGGGATAGGGAGAGGGCCTGGGCCTCCGGTAACCTCACTCACACGGCGAAACACAACGCTGTGGTTGTTTCACGCCGGTTTTCTGTAAGGCCGTGGTATCACTCCGATCGAGCCGACCCATTAGTGCCGAAGCTTGGCTCTCCCACACTTAAATCTATACTTTTGAAATGTCAAAATAGAATATCAATCTGTCGGTCCAGTCGTCAGTGAAGGATTTGGGGAATGGGGATTCTGGGATTCTTAGGGTTTTGTGTTGCAACTAAGAGAAGGGTGGTTTCAAGTCAATCAGAGTCTAAGGCTACAAGCCGAGACGAAAAAAATTAATAAAAGAGGCTTTATAATAGTTTTTTCTCATACCTTTCGACACCTTTGTGAATTAATTTCGGCATTTGTTTACATTATTCAAAGGTCCACTTAACACGTCTCTTTTAATTTGTGAATTGGTGACTCAAAAATTAGATAGACTTATAAAATATGTATAACCAGTTGCTTACCATAATATTTTGCACCCATCACCCTCTTGACACAGTTGTTTGTTTGTGCCAACACAAGTGACAATGACCCACTTTCAAATTGACTATGAAGCAAATCTTTTTTTCTCTAATTATACTGCCTAGTGATCAAGGTCTTCCCTGAGTGTTTTGAGTGATCTTTCACTTTTATTTTTAATTTAAGACACGCCCCGGCTTTTGTCCAGAGCAATGTTGATATATATTTAATGGATGTTATTATACAAAATATAATACGAACCTTCCTCGTCAATCACTTTATCTATTAAAAAAACCGCAACAAAATCCGTTGCGTAGTTTTACAGATTTAAGCGTACCTACATAGAGTTATAGAGATGAGAATGAAAATGATGAGAGAAATCTGTTAGATTTTGTTTTACACTACATTTGTAGTGGTGACAAGTTATACGACATTCATATACACATCTATACGATAATGGAATAAGTTGAACTATAGTATTAATTAAACAAAAACAAAATGAAAACAAATGCCCCTTTATTATTAACCACGCACTATAACGTGGTTCAAATTAATAAAGAAATGCGAAAGCAATGATGAAAATTAAATGAAATTAGCAGATAATTATGAAAATGTTTATCTAAATTTTACATTTAAATAAAGAAATTTAAATTGTAAAGAATAGTATTGTTTTGTTTAAAATAGCACAAGGATTGTAAGGAAGACATTTTGAATGTTACACGTGAACCTAATCAAGTAACATGAGCATATGAAATCCTGTAACCAAATCCAAGTAGAATAAGCTATCAAATTTATTAATTTATTAGTGTTAGATGTTTCCTAAGAGACCGGTCTAGCCATTCACCCTAATTCAATGCCCAAGGATATGTGTCTGCTTAGTTTTGCACAACTCCACAGTAGGTAGGTATGTACTTGATGCGATGTTGTCCCTTCGCTGGTTGCGACATGTTTACTTTCATAAAATCCAGCACTAAATTTGTTTAAAGGTTTCGGAAGTTATTAATTAGGTATTTCCTTTACTAAATTCTTCATTTTGAAAGTTGAAGGTGCGATCGAAATTCTATTTCGAAAGACGAAATAAGTAACTGCGGTATCAGCTCTCAAATTTCTTGCTATTGACAGTAATAATGGTCATTTAGTAATTTTGGGAACAAAATCATTAAACTAAAGAATAGTTAAGTGTGCCCTAGTAGGGCAATTCCATTTTTAAAATAAATAAATATATGTATAGAAATGCTGATATATCTACGAAGAATACTTTTTTAACCACGCAAGCTCTGGTAGAGGGAATAGATGGAAACAAAACAGACAAATAAATAACTAACAAAAATAAATCCTTACACACGTTTCTGTGTTTAAACTTAACACAATTTCCTCATTTCATAGAACTTAAAACTAAAACAATTAGGTCGTGTTTACATCGCTATCGGAAATAGGAATTCGAGAATGTCACTAATGCTGCATACGAGTTGATAACGCGACTTTGAACACTCAAACACCTGACATTGTAATCTGTGCAAGTAAAAATGAGTCCTACGTGCTTTAAGGTTCCGATTCAACACCAACAATGACTAAATTTTGTGACAAATACGTCAATTTAGTTTATCAGTTTAACTGCGAGGGTATAAAACCATGTTGTAATGTTATATTTCTTTTATTTGTTCAATATGGATTGGTGTGGTGTTTTTGTGCTCGTGGCCCTTATAGGATTGTTACAAGTAAGTTAATTATAAATAATACACAACCTTATCTACGTTATTTCTTAGGGTGTAATTTTGTATAATGGATGACAATTTTATTAAAGTAACAGCCACTTTCCGTGTTTATTACTTAAAAATATAAGGATACTTAGCTGAATTCCAAAAGACTAAATATAGAATATCGTTGTCTCTTTTCTTTATCTCCCTGTAATAAACCTAGTTTTCTTAAATAAAATAACCCAACAGTCGTCTTATTTAGACATTCTGCCTATTACAATTGACAGACCTACTTTTCAGTTAAAAATACTGTTATACTTAATTTTATCCTATGTATTCATTATATTGTTACAGTGCAATTCATATCAAACTGCAGGATCTAATAATAACAGACAACAAACGATACAGTACAGGATACCGTACTACAATCGGCCACAAAACTACAGATTTATCCCAATACCCTACCCGTATTATACAAACTTCAATAATAGTCCACCAAGAAGGCAGCAACTGCCTAGAGGACCTACTGTTAATCCAAGTAGGACGATAATAATTGATAACATCAATTCAAAACCGACTATTACCTATCCATCTCCAAGTAACCCTATAATTCTCAACACTAGAGATTTCAAAGTGAGAGTACAAATTGATAATAGACAGACAGGAAAGAAAACGCCTTCTAATAAAACAAAGGATCCTAAAGATGAAGACCAGGAAATTGAAATTGACGTAAGAAGTGGTGATGACGGCGATGATATTGTAGTCGAAACTGAAATAGATGACGAAAATGGGAAGAAAGTAGCTGAAGCTGAGGCAGAAATTGAAGATGACGATCAAGAAGAAAATAATGATGACGGAAAACGTAACAAAGGTAAACCAAAAGAAAAGAAAGATGATAATGATGATAATCAAAACAAATCGAAAGATAACAAAGACAAAAAGACTAAAGGCAATGAAGACGACCAAGATAATAATGATGAAGATGAGAATACTGACAATGATAATAAGCCAGAAAGAAAGAAAGAAGACGATAATAGTGATAGCAATGAAACAAATAAAGACGATGAAGATCAAGCGGACCCTCAAGAAAATAAGGATGGCAAAAATAACAATAACAAAGATGATGATGAAGATACTGAAACTGAAGCTTTAGCAGAAGCTGAAGCATTCGCAGAAGTTACAGACGATGATCCATACGGTAAAGATAACTCTGAGACATCAGAAAATCAAGACGATGAAAATACTGAGAATGATAAAAGTAAACCAAAAATTGAAAATGATGATGGAAATTCTGATGGCGATGACAACGACGCAGTTAAAGAAAATGAAAACATTGACAATAGAAACGATGGAGATGAATCCAATGAAACCGACCAATCAAATAATGATGACTCGGAGGCTACAGGCACTACAGATGATTCTGAAAACAACAGTAACGATAATGGTGCTGACCCTTCAGAAGATGATGAAAACTCTGACGATGAAGATGACACTGAAACTGAAGCAAGGGCCGAGGCCGAAGCGACGGCTGAAGTAACAGACGAAGAGCCTTCAAACAATAATGATTCTGACAATCCAAATACAGAAAATGAAAATAATCCGGCTAAAGCCCAAAATGATGTAGACGATCCAGAATCAAGAAATAATAGAGATAATACGGAAGAAAACAAAGATAACGGAGACGAACCAGAAAAAGATGGTGGTGACAATCCAGAAGAAAATAATAATGATGTTGAAGATCCAGAAGAAGGGAAAGATGATGGAGATAATGTAGAAGAAAAGAAAGATGATGGAGATGATGCAGAAGAAAAGAATGTTGATGAAAATGACCCAGAAGAAAACAAAAATGATGGAGATGATGCAGAAGAAAAGAATGGTGATGAAAATTACCCAGAAGAAAACAAAAATGATGGAGATGATGCAACAGAAAATAATGGTGATGAAAATGACTCAGAAGCAAGGGCTGAGGCTGAAGCGACGGCTGAAGTAACAGACGAAGAGCCTTCAAACAATAATGATTCTGACAATCCAAATACAGAAAATGAAAATAATGAAGTAGATGCAGAAGAAAATAAAGATGATGCAGGTGATGCAGAAGAAAAAAAAGATGATGGACATGATACAGAAGAAAAGAAAGATAATGGAGATGATGCAGAAGAAAATAAAGATGATGAAGATGATACAGAGGAAAAGAAAGATAATAGAGATGAAGCAAAAGAAAAAAAAGATGATGTCGATGATACAGAAGAAAAGAAAGATGATGGAGATGATGTAGAAGAAAAAAAAGAAAATACAGAAGATTTAGAAGAAATGAAAGGTGATAGCGATAGTACAGACGAAAAGAAAGAAGAATCTGACGATCCGGAAAGAATGAACAATGATGAAAATGATCCAGAAGAAAAGAAACATGATGGAGATGATGCAGAAGGAAAGAAAGATGACGAAGAATGCGATGAAGAGTCTTAAAATGTTTAAATAATGATAGCTAGCAAAATAAATATTGTATATTATATTTAATAAAATAAATTTCCTTACTTTTATAAAAACTTAAAACCCTTGTTAAACTCTTTTTTTATTTTTCAAAACTTCGATGTTATACGAAGAGGAAGATCTTTAAAAAATAATAATAATTGTATTGTGTACAAATACAATACAAATATAAAAATGATTATTGCAGAACTATTTTTCTGACCAATTTTGTGATTGAACCTCTTTTTAGGAACATAATACCAGTAATAAGAGACTCATCTTCCATAACGAAACAATATACCAATCGATTTTTGTTTATTTTTTGTACAGACTAGAAAGAAAAACATATTGTATCAGACTCCTTAAGCTATATTAAGTCAACACTAAACGCCTACTTCACCACCATCATATAAATGCCCCATTAACTTATGTGGCACATAGTAAATACAAATTACATTCTTCATAAACATTTATTTGGTACATAGCGGACATTCAGTCAATCTATAACATGCTAGCCTATGTCCTATTCCAGAGTGTATCTTATGCCTGTGCCAAATTTCATTCAGATTCGTCAAGCCATTTTGGCGTGATTGAGTAACAAACATACAAACATCGTTACTTTCGCATTTATAATAGTAGTAATATAAGATAAGATTAAAATGTTTGTTTCACATAACTTGAAAAAATAGAGAATTCTCAACTTAATAAAAACTTAACCTTAATGTTTGATGGCAATAATCTCGCGACTGTCTAAAAAAAATTAGTAAATTACCCGACTTCACAAAAAAGGGAGGTTGTCACTATCTCCCATTACCTATATGTTTTCACAATTATTCCACTATCGCCTGAATAGAATTTGATGCGGATTCTTTAACAGAATGAGGATAATTTTTGAACTGGTGTTATTCAGAAAGCTTAAGAGAAGAAAGCCGAGGACGGAACGCTAGTATAGCAGTAAATAATGAATTTGGCTTACCTCTATCATCTTAGGCCGCAACATGTCAACTGAGTTCATGATGCATTTGTCTACTTCTGGGTCATTCCGCTGGCATACCTTTATGTATGATGCTGGAACAAGAAATATCTATGTTATAAACTTTTAATTTTATGTGGGAAATTATTAGTGGCACCTTCTTCTATGACTTGTCAAACGACCATGTATAATATTCAAAATTTCCCCAAGCTTTATCAGTCTTAAAAGTAAAGTACCTAAGAAATCAAAAATATAAAAAAGCGTGAAAATAAATGTTGATTTATCTAAGCAATAATTATTGGTTCTTATTTTAATTTACACAGGTTCAAAAAAGTAACACCAATATCACGATTTGAGTTGTAGATTTCGCGCGTAAATTCGGGTTACAGATTAAAAATAATGGGAATGAAGCATACAGCCACAAAATTAAATGTCAGTCTTCCAAACAATCAATGCTGCCTATCGCAAATTTATAATACAAATTTTAAAAGTTATGTTTAAAAGATATATTATAGGTAGAATATTATAAGTATCCTGTAGTCTAGATCCCGCTTTCGCTGATTGAGAACGAGTATACGTGCAGGTTATGTCACATGATTACATCGTACGAACTATCGTAAACGCAGGAGTGCGATTCACTAAGGCAAAACATCTTTACAACCGAGAAATCATCGTTGAAACATCAGATGAAAACTTATCGGTATTCTTTAGTTAAAACTGCGCGGTCGTAGCGCCACAACGATGTCGACGGCGCGACACAGAACTAAAATATGGTTCCGAATGTATGAAAAACGGTATTCAGAAACACAAAACATCCTCGCCTTCAACGACAACGGCGCCTTCGCCTTAGATTTTACCTGTCAAATCGTAAAGCTTGTAAATTGTAGATGTTTCCTTGGTTGTAGACAATTAAAACGTAATTAAAACAAGTTATTTTTTAAATTATAAATGCTTTGTATTGTTTTGTTTACCGTATTTTAATTCGTGAAACTTTAATGCCTATTATTAATGTTTTAAATGGCAGTTCGTCTTTCCTGTATGATTTTTTTGTTGGAAGAAGCTTAGCGTCGAGATAATGTAGAAAAAAGAAGTCAGGCACATGTGATACGTAACATGGATCTTCTTACTACTGATACAGAATTTATTAAGGTATTCAGGTTGACTGAAGAGTCAATTAAATAATTGGAAGAAGATATTTCACCATTTTTAGCAAAGACGAAACGTAAAGGAGGAATTTGCAGACGAACTAAAGTATAACTAAATTAATTAAATTTATATTATTATTATTACAACTATTATATCACTATACTTATAGTGAAAAATGTCTAAAACTTATCTCATTCTAGATTTTATGCACTCTCGCATTTTTAGCTAATGGGAGTTACCAAAAAATATTATGTGAGAATACAAAAAAGGTTACTAGCTTTTCCAGCTGATCTAACGAAGGAGATGCGTTGCGAGACACTAAATGTTAAATATTTTGGTTACTTATATAGTAGTTCCACAAACTGCTATACATGTTCCACAAACTGGTATTTAAATAGAAATGTAACTATATACTTACTTTCGATAGGTTTGGGACCAAACTAAAACACAGAACAAGTAGAACGTCATAAGGTTGGGGTGCACAATTTTTAAGTAACAAAGTCCACTTAGCCACTTAAAACCACTTAGAACTTTGGAATTTCGTAATTTGATAAAAAACTTTCAAGATAAGATCAAGTTGTTTGTTTTGAAATACATAACCTAAAAATAAAAGTGTCAAAGATTTAGTTTTGTTTTATTGCTATAATCAAAATTAATTATTTTCCAAGTCTAAAATGATATAATTAATTAAACATTTGTTGCTTATTAAATATAACGTGTTTTGTAGATACGTCTTGTGCATTTGTATTAATTTAAAATGACGAAATAACTTAAACATAGGTTAGTCGAGATTTTCTCGATTATACTCTAGATTAAACATAGCAACACTGCCAACATCATACTCATCATCGTTGTTCGGCAGATCGTCGACGAGCTTATGTAGCTCAGCGAATACGGTTTTTATCAACGTTGTTTTTAGAAGCGATATTTACGATGAAACATCCGTGAACGCGTCGTTGTTAACATCTATGATGATTCTGTTAGTGAATCGCATTGCAGGTACTTGCGCCGAAATAGCCGCGCATTCCGTCGAACTGCTCTTGGACTATTTTTAACCTAATAATTTTATCATAATTTATTTTTAATAAAACCATAATACGGAGTTTTCATTAATGCCTCTGTTTAAAAAAACATTACATATTACACTCTAAAAAATAATAGTTTGTCTATGACGTTCTTTTTTTTATAAATAAAACACGATAAAATCTACTTGTACCTCGTTTGGTAGAAACTATTTGAGGTTAACCTTTTACATTCCATTTATTTAAATTCATATCGAATTGAGTGACAAGTACCTACCATTGTTAATTTACCGTTGTTTGTAAACGTTTACCGTTTTTTTCATCAACTAAAAGCTTGTTAAACTCGAGCCCTCTATTGACAGACGTTTTAACAAAATAAGTAATATTCAGTAGGTAGGTACAATGAATATTTAAAGCAAGTTAGCATTGTTCAAATAAGTAATTGCTTGCAAACATACATTGCCCATATCTCGTCTCGAAATGTACACACAAATCAAAATCATTTATTCCAACTAAACCATAAATAGGTACTTTTAAAACGTCAACACGTAGGATACTTACTTACTATAATTTTTCTAAGTTATGCACAAAAAATCTTGAGCACTTTTCTCTTTATTCCTCACATAAGAACATTTTCTTTACAATAACAAATTAAGAAAAAAAATTACCTAATTTAGTCCGACTCTTGGCCTCGTCGATTTTTGTGCTAAGGTAATATTTCGATTTTTCGTACGTTCGATTATGATATATGTACAATATTTATAAATAAATATAGTTATATTTTTCCTATTTCATAAAAGTTACAAAACAAACCGACTGAGGTTTGTTTGTTTGTAACTTTTATTTACAAAATTAATTGCGCACTCCGGTTTTGCGTGGATTTCCGCTTGATGCATATTTTCTAGCTGTCCTGACGCTGTTCCCAATATATTTTACATACAACCTTATTGTTATGTACCTATGTCTTACTTATGTTTACTACCCTTATTCAAATTAATTTGGGACAGCACTATACATATACTTATGTATCGTCTTTTTTTCATTTTTTCCTATCAAACATTGCTCCGTTACAAACATTCTATTGAACAACATTCTTAACACAATCCATTCATATTTTCTTTAGTCGTATCTAACCCGTTTGTTTTCTAATAACAACACAACAAAACAAGAAAAAATTATAAGGTCAATCCGTTTACATGAGTTATTAAGGTGACGGAAAGTAAGGAGATTTGATTTCTCTCAAAACTCATCAGTGCTCTCAAAGAACAGTTCAAATAATTGTCGTTGTCATAAGATGACCGGCTGCTGTGCAGTAATTCGGATTCGAGAGCGAAAAAATTCTTAGAATTATCAATAAATAAATTGTTCCTTGGCAAAATTTGGCGCGTGTGAAATTATAGGTACATTTGTAAACGCACACAAGCACGATGCAGAAAGATAATGGAACATTATTTTTTTTATAATAAAGTTTTGTCTACTTTTTTATACAATTAACTTTTATAAAAAATGTCTATCATAAAATAAAAACATAGCTGTTCAAAAAATAATAATCTAAACGTTGGCTACAAATATCATATTTGTACATTTCAGTACCTACGTTTACATCACAAATAACTAGAAGATAAGCGATTCCGAGCTAAATAACTAGTACTTATGTTGTTTTTATACGAACAGCATCTATGTCAGTGGTATAATGGCCGTTTATTGCAGGCATGTTCTGCAATAATGTCCCAACAGTAACGTTCTCAATCTACGCAGAGTACGAGAAATCGACGCACTTTTTACTTCACTATTATAATTACTTGTTTTTCCGTAAATACTTATCGTAATTTACGACGATATTATGCTGTGATTACAAAATATGTAGAAATGAGAATTTAATATGCTTTCTGATAATATTTTTCTACATTTATATGTATGTTTGTACCTATTTAGTTTTGTTTTATTATCTGTTTATTTACTAAGGATTAAGTTTGGAATGATGTGGGCTTATAATTATAATCTTCAAATTTCAATTAATAAATATCTCTGTGTAAAAATAAATTCAAAAAGCTTTAAGACTTTTAATTTATACGCAATTTTTATTATTTTAGTTTTTTTGATTTAAATTGGAAAGCAATATTTCGTAATTTACGAATATTGAACATTCGAATAAAAAATTCGAAACAGCGACATTTTTTATTTTATTCGAACACGATTCATATGAGCCAATCACATTCTCGTTCGAAAATTTGAAAATGGAATTCTCCTAAACTTACGTATTTCGGCGGCGACAAAATGCAGCACAAACAGAAGCACCGTAGCAGGCAACATTTCGATAGAGCTTGCACAATGTACTTAGAAATGTTTCGCAAATCGCACTGGTGTGGAAACGGATCGAAGAGCCGTGGACGGCCAGCCTGGTCGCGGTATCGGCTGGCACTGGCGAACCAACACTACACCACCACCACTCGGTTCACTAAGGACATGTGAGCGTGCATCAGCCCTATTCTGAACTATATACTTCTTCTATTGACTGATGATTATCATTATGTCTCTAATTGAAGCTTCCTTATTATATCTGTCAGGGTTGAATGTCGACCTTCAGGTTATATGGAAGGGGTTTTTCGTAATGACAAATGTTTTAAAACCTTTTTTTATTGGAAATTACTTATTATATTTTGTACAGCTTTTTTCACATTACATGTTGCGAATTACTCAACTCATTCATAAGTATTTTTTTTCAATAAACACTTTGAAATAACCTTTAAGCCAATTTGCAATAGTAACGATGCACGCTAAATTATGAAGGAAATCAATTAAAATTATAAACACAAAAATGGACGGGCAAATCAATTCATTAGATAAATATAATAAGGTTGCAAGTGGTTGGACGGTTGTGGTCTTACCCAGTGGTGTTCTAAAAGCCAAGTTAGTTTTCAAAGTCAAAGTCAAATCATTTGTTTCAAATAGACAACAACAGGGACTTTTGAAAGTCAAAAAAAAATATGTGTCAATAGGTTTAACTTTATGTGTGTCAGTATCAGTCTTTCGATCTGTCCGATAGTAGATTCATATTCAAAGAAACTCCACGGTTAGGTACTCTTTTTCAGTCAGTTTTACTAACTCATAATTTTAAAGAAGACCAGGCGGCAGCACCCTCTATAAAATCTGACCCTTCTACGATTTTCAGCTCACCGACTTAACGTGAAGTCAAAAAAGTCAAAATCATTTATTCCAACTAAACCATAAATAGGTACTTTTGAAACGCCAAAATTGTGAAGGTTATCTATATTAATATTATAAAGAGGTAAAATTTTTATGTTTGTAAGTTTGTATGTAGGGGGTAATCTTTGGAACCGCTGGTCGGATTGCCAAAATCCTTCCACGCATAGATAGCTGTAATGTTCCTGAGTGCTATAGGCTATAAATAAATAAATAAATAAATAAAACATCACGCTACGATCAAATAGAGATGAGCAGCGGGTGAAACCGCGTGAGATTAGCTAGTGGCCAATATAGTTCTGCAGTGGGGAATAACAACAGCATTATTCATCTTTCTTTAAATTAAAACGTGGCCTTACACTAGGATTTTCACTTATGAGATCCGTGGATGGTATATCGTTCTTTGTCGAGTATTTTTTTATGTATAGTGTTTCTTTAATTTCAACTCCCTAGAAGTAAGACGATCGCGCAAACAGATGACGGTGTACTTAAAATTCTTAAGGAGATAATTTGTGATCCGGGCCTGCATAATGAAATGTGGAATCTATGTTTTCCTCTCAACTATTGCGTACTGTCCCAACTTTCCGTACCTAATATACCACATACCAAGTTACCTAAGCCTAGCACAATGGTCACACCTGAACACCATTAGCGCTTTCCTGAATTGAATCAGGATAACTCAAATAAAGAATTAACTGTGCGTTTGCGGATAATGTCTTAATCGAATTCGAATATTTGAAGTTTTGTGAGAAAGACGCATGAATGCGTTTAAATAATCTAGTTACCTATAAGTTAAAGGGGTAATTTTCCGTTCCATTTAATTCAATAAATATATTAACATCACTTTCGGATCCAGAACCTCAATTTGTGTATCACAAAAATAGCACCGTGTAGCTCATCCTTAGACGGTTGCCCATCCACTACGCCAATTATACAGTCACTCATGTTTGGTAAAAGTTACACATGTAAAAGCATAACCATCTCATCTAGCTTTACATCTTTATAAACATGTTTTTTTTTTGTTACACACCTAACTGAACATACAGGAATCTACAGCTTCTCTCTGATAATAACTCGTTCCAGAAATAAACAAACATTGAAGTGTTGATATTTCTAAATGACAATTTTTATGTATGCAGTATACATTGAGTAGCTGTTTATTGGCGATGGCGATTCCATTTATGTGCGGTTCTCAGTTCTAACCTAACCTAACCTACCACTCTGGTAGCAACTCCATTTTCATGATCCCTTCACCCTTCAACTTACAGCCTATATATGAAATTTAGGCATTAAATCTAATAACTAGTATATCAGGCCGTTAGTTGTATAGCTAATTCAACTACTTGGCTGCGACATACATAAACCTTATTAAGGAGAAATAATGCCAAAATACAAAACATATTTTAAATTATCGATGTAGACCTCATAAAGTTAGGTTGCATAGATGTAATATTATCTAATATGACCTGTCACAATGCTAAATCCATCATACAAAATAATTTATAAAAAACATCATAAAACCAACAATGGATAACAGCCGCATGATAAGTGTATTCCGTCGTTGCACCATTCGGGAGAAACTCGTGCGCAGCACTGTTATCCTGGATGCTCGTGCGCACTTTTCCGTCAGCGCACGTGTAACATTAGCAGACCTTCCGCGATTGTGAACTCGATCTAAATTATATCCTCCAATTTAAATTGTTACGCTTTGAATTTTGTCGGCTTAAAAACAATTTTGACGGCACGGTTGGCGCGGTGGCTGGCCAACTGGCTGCGGCGCAACGTGTCGCTGGTCGATTCCCGAACGGAACAACTCTTTGTGTCATCCACAAATTGTTGTTCCGGGACTGGGTGTGATGTGTATATGAAATTGTATGTTTGTAAACGCACCCACTACACAGGAGAAAATCTTAATGTGGGGCAAAATCCCTAAAAAAAAAGAATGGTGGTAGAATAAAGTATAATTTTAAAACAGAAAAACTAGAATAAACTTTTTCACATATAGCGGGCACAAGCTGAAATTAAAACCAAGCCAGCTCAATCGACAGTGTCCAATGCTAAAATCAAAGAGGCAGATAAAAAAACATATCATCGGTATAAACTGTTCCATAATTGAAATATAAAAAAAAACTCATTAAAAAATAATAAGTAACAATGCACCAATAAAAAAAAACAATAACAAGTAATTTATTTTTATGTTGCAACCCCAAATAGCTGTACACTCACATAATTGAAATTACAAAGTGTATAAACGAAAACATTGAATGAACATAAATGTTGCAACTTGCAACTAAAATATATGAAGAAAAAACATTATCTGCCCATCTATCAGAATATTTTTTACTAGCTTCCGCCCGCGGCTTCGCACGCGTTATTATAAATTAATGTATCCCATGATTTTAAAAACAGCAGCGTTTAAAGGGATAGCTCGACTAAAATATGCAAATCAAGTATAATTTTTATTAATTATATAGCTATAATTATAGCTTAAAGCGCTCAAGAACATTGTAGCTATCTATCAGTGAAAGAATTTCGGAAATCCGACCAGCGGTTCCGAAGATACAGACGAGACAAACTTACAAATTTTACCTCTTTATAATATTAGTATAGATTATTTCAAGTGCTGCGTTTGAAAGGTTAATTTGTGCATCGTTTATGAATAATTTTAATATTGCAAAACTATTGATAACTCGTGGAAAATAGTGTGGGGAAATATTTTGTTTGTCTTGTATCTAATGTAAATGTCGAAAATTATAGATTTGCCTGAGGGGTTATCACGGCCTAATTATATGTGTAAGAGGCTTACTCTGTTTTGTGCAATAATGGCGAATTTGTTTTTATTTAAGTCGATTGTCTCGAATAAATTCTTACGTCAAAACATTTAAAACGGCTCTTTTGAAACGTCAAAATTGTATTCTGTCTGACTATCAGTGAACCCAGGTGTTTATTTTGCCTGTACTGCGTCAGGCCACATCAGCTCATCTTTGGGAAGTTATTTTTACATAATTAATATAAGCAGAACTCTCTGAATGTCATTGTTAATATAAATTATAAAATGTGGCCTTTATAACACATTCAACTAACAGTATTCTGTATAGTTATGTATCTGAACATTTTATGAAGCAACTTCGTTCGTAAAAATTTCGTATTTCATTGTTTAATCAGCCTGTTAAATTATGGCTAAACAAATTTGGCTATTTTAAAGGGATTGTCAGAATTTTACTAACTAAAACCCCACCGTTCCTTCTCCTTCTCTAGGCCGAGGCCACGATACTTTATTGCGCTAGCCCCGCAACCCTGGATAAACACATTTGGCCTAGTCTGCATATCACATAGCAACAGAAGCCAACCATAGATTCGCTCAAAAATTGATGAGATCTGTAACAGTAATCAAATTAACCATTAAGAGAAGGTCACTGACAATATGATAAGGCTTAAAATTTTTCATAAAGTAGTTATATCCTTAGTTTCTCAAAAGTCAAATCTCACTTCCATTCAGACCAAACCGTGGGTCTCTTAAACAACTCGCATTCTTAAGCACAGCAATTATTATTATCAGCTACTCAGTTGCTCAATCTAATTGATACTGCCTGACTGGCGTCAGTTCGAATATTTCTGTAGACGTATGCAATCTTAAAGAACACTGTATAAATATTGTAATAGGTATAAAAGTTTGGCATTGACCCGTACTGTCCTAGCATTATCCGACGTGTGAATTTAAAAACACATTCTACTATTTATCAAAACAACAATATTGGCCAACTAAATTCTACTTAATTCAGTTTGACAAATTGCAACATACTCAAAATGAACAAAACTTTTTTTTGGTTTTTGAAAAGAGTATCGTATTATCGTTCTAGATTTTGTGGAGGATATCGAAGCTGCGAGGTTGAGAAACTTGTCCTTATTGTAGATTTTCTAAAGTTAGATTACCATCCGTCCGAGCAACTACAAACAAGGGGTTGAGTACAAACACCACAAAGGGACAAAAATTAATTATCCAACGACTTCTGCCGACCTTGATAGGCCAAGAGGAAGTTTTAAGACTCTTACTGACTAAATTCTGTCCTGTTCCTTTTTCTGCTCCAAGCCAGAGACGTGCTTGAAACTCGGATGAGTAAAGTAGAGTAAAATTCCATTTCGATAGGTACATAATTTGTCTTGGATAGCTTTAAAACCTTCACAGCCTATTTCTTAGTTTAAAATGAAGACAATAAATGCACAATTAGAATAATACAATAAGAATAATGTATATCATACATTCAGCCAAGTTATATGGTAGACATACAGGTATTTTTTAT